ATTTAGTAACAAGAATCTTAAGTGCAATTTCAGTTTTAACTAAACTATTAAAACATATATAATGGCTATTCCATCTTATTACACATGGATGTTGTAAAGCAATTACTTTATCATAAATTGATTTTTGTTCTTCACAAAGTTTTCCCAAAAATAAGATGACGTATTAAAAAATGAAACTAATTCTATTGCTTTAGTTGATACTTAACGATAATCTGAAGATTCTTTGAATATTTCACCTACAACTAGATTAACTTAATGCGCAAAATAAGATAAAAATAACAATTCACGATGTTTTTGACGTAAATATGATCTAGTTGCAGTATATGCACCAGCAGAATCTGTAACTATACAAATAATTTTTAATTTTTTTTTTTTTATTTCATCTAACCAGGTTTCTATTTGATTAATAGCTTCTTCAAATCTTGATCGTTTAGCAGAAATATCCTTTGCTTCCCACACAATACTACGTCCTGATGATATAATTATTACAATTCCAAGAATTGATTGCTTAACTACATTCTTTCAACTATCGAATGCAACTGTAAGACCAATTTTTTCTAATTGTGCAATTGATTTAAGTGATAATTTAATATCTTTTTCTGTGTCTTCTAAAATATTTCCAGCTAGATTTTTTCTTGATGTTAAAGATAATGCTGAATTGGTAAAATGAATCATTTCTCATGCTTCATTATTTTCTACTCACCTAAACGGCCAACCACTAGATACAGTAGCTCTTAATACAAGATTATGCCAATGTTTAGTACTTTCATTGGTAAGTTGTCAAGGCATATAAAAAAGAATACTATCATTACTTGGTTGAGTATCAGTAAAAGTAGGTTATGTAAATTGTGTAGATAAGGATCTTGTTGAATTGATACTTGATAGTGTTAAAACTAATGAAGTTACATCTTAATTATTATCATAAACTTCTCTTAAACATTTTTACTATGTGCTTTTTTTAACTGTTTTTGATGATCATCTTCTTATTCTGAAGAATACTAGCATATATAAAAGCCTATTCTTCTTCATTAAATTGAGCCTTAAATTGTAAACAATCTCTTAAATAGCTTTGACAATTTTCTCTCTTATTATTCATTTCTTTAACTATCAATAATGGATCATTAGCATTAATACAAGCTAAATATTTAGCAGTTTTATAAGTTTTATTCCATTTTTCATCTGAAATACCAGAAGTAACTAATCTATTTGTATATTGATCTACCACTGTGTGGTTTTTTTTGACATTATCAAAAGTTTTGAATAAAAATTAAAGTATAAAAGTAAAAAGGGTAACCTGATTGTTAATAATAATTATAAAATTTGAGTACAAATACTAAATTAATCCTATCTTTTCAAAAATTAGCATTTAAGAGGAATAATAATTCCCTATGTACTAGTTTATTTTTTCTTCAAATAATATATAAAAGAAAGTTAGGCAAACTTTTTTTCCCTCCTTTTGAACTTTATAAACAAAAAAAAGCAATTAACAAAAAACTTTTTTTTCCTAAAAAAAAAATTTATTTTGGTTACATTAGTATTACATCTTGATTGATAATCATTTTTTTAAATGACGTTAGACAATAAACTCCAATAAATTCAATAAATGATCAGCTAAATTAAAGTTTATTATGTTTATTAAAACAAGTAGCCAGTTTACTTCTCAATAGCTAATAACTAAATAATAGGGTTGGATCAGTCCTAATAAGACTGATTATAGACTGGTTAATTAGACCAGTCCTGTGATCCTCAGTCTATATACTGAAGACCAGTCTAGGACTAGTTATTATATTGCAATTTACATATATAGTATAATGATCTGTAATACATAAAATTTTTATTTATGTAACAAATTGCAGATTTTAGTTCAACATTAACTTTAATTATTTAGTAGCGACAAAATGGAAAATCAAGGTGAATTTTTTTTTTAAAAATAATTCTCATGCTTTCTTTTTTTCTTACACATTATTTTATTTTATTAAAGATGATAACGCTACAATTATTCAAGATGAAGAAGATTTTTAGGAAAATGATAAAATAAGAGATGATAATGCTGATTCTAATATTTAAGAAGAATTAATAATATCGTGATCTATTAAGTTAAAATAAAAAGGAATTTCTAAATCAACTGTATGAGAGTATTTTGATTTTAACAATAATCGTCCTACTTGTAAGGGATGCAAAACTGTATTTTCATCATCAACAGAAACTTCTCCTTTAAGAAGACACTTAAATTCTTATAAAATCATAGCACCTAAGCAACAACAAAGAACCTTACATAATTATCATAATGATCTATATTCTAAAAATGAACAGCAAGAGCGTGACAAATATTTTATTAATTGGATTATATGTGATATACAACCTTTCAGTGTTGTAGAGTGTGAGGAATGGAGACAAATGATCAATAAATTTAATCCTAGATATCAATTTTATAATTGACATATAATTAAAGATCAGATATTAGCATTATTTCAAAGTAAAAGAGAGCAAGTAAAATTAGTAACAAGTAAAATATTGGAAAAAGTAGCTTTCACTAGTGATATATAGATTGCATCTAATAATACAGCATTTCTTAATCTTACAATTCATTATGTTAATGATTCTTAGAAATTAAAAATATTTTTACTTGATATTATTTTAATGACAATTCATTATAATAGAATTAATATAATAGATACTATAATGGAGGTTTTATATGAATTTGAATTAGCAGAAAAAGCATTAGCTTTAACACCAGATAATGTAAGCTCAATGATTATTTGTGGTAATTTTATAGCAGAATAATTTGAAGAATTTAATAATTTAAATTTTTCTCATTATCAATATGCTGCACATAATTTAAATTTAGCAGTTGCTAAGGGAATTGATATAATTAGTAATTCAATTAAAAAAATATGTGTCTTAATAATTTATATTAAATCTTTACAACTAACTAATGATGAATTAAAAGTATTATGTCAAGTAAAAGAAATTAATTATTTGGTACCTGAATTGGATATTAAAACAAGGTGGAATTCAACTTACTATATATTGAAAAAGTGAAAACAAATAGAACTTGCCTTAAATTTACTTGCTATTGATAATGAAGAAATTAGTCAACGATTTCCTAATAATGAAGATCACAAAATTATTAATATATATAATTTAATTTTAAAATTAATATTTGTAAAAAAGTTATATATTCTAATAACTTTTTATTTTTTTAATAAGATACAATAAATCTCTTAAACACGTAACTTATCTTCTTTCAGCTTCAAATTATGCAATGTATAGTGATATACGATCAGTTTTTTTGAGTATTCAAAAAAAATTGATTTAATATAAAAATGATGATGAATTTTCACAATGTATAATAGCAAATGCAATTTATCAAAAATTAGAGAATTATTTACTAATTTTAGATGAATCATCACAAATTTCTTCATTGGTAGATCCAAGAGTAAAGCTATCTGCATTTAAAGGTGAAAATGAAATTAACAAAGTAAAAGACTTAATATTAAAGTTAAATGGGTATCTCTTAACATATACTTCAACTATAGCTTCTATATCAGATGATATTACAAGTACAAGAAAGTTTTTTAGGCAATTATGAAATAATAATAATTTTACTTCAACTATTTCATCACAAGTATATAATATTCAAGGAGAGCTAGATAGATATTTAGCAATACCATTAGAAAACCAAATTGATTCTTTATTATAGTGGCAATTACAATAACAAAGTTTTTCAATTTTAAGTCAAATAGCAAGGGATTATTTGTGTATTCAAGCTACAAGTGTAGCTTCAGAACAAGATTTTTCAGTTGCTGGATTAGTTATTTCACTATTAAGAAATAGATTAGAAGCAGAAACAGCTAGGGCAACATTGTGTTTAAAGAGTTAGTTTTGTCAAGGTGTTTGTGAAAAATAATATAATTAATGTAGAACAATAATTAGTAAAAAAGAAAGGAACATTTTTTTTAATATTAAATAATTTAATTTAGTATATATTTGTATTCATTATAATAAAAACAATTTATTTTTATCTTCTTTAAAATTAAACTTTAATACTATATGCTAACTAAGGACCGGTTCTTAGACTGGTCTTATCAATCAATCTAGACTGAAAAGGAAACATATTTTAGACTAGATTGAACCAGTAGAACTGAATATATAAAGACTGGTCCTAGGGATCAGTCCTTAAACCAGTCCTAGAACTGACTTATGGACCAGTCTGATCCTAAAAAAGATAAAAGACTAGTCTTTTTAGACTAGACTAGACTAGACTAGACTGAACTGATCTAACTTTACTAAATAAACTATTACTGACTTATATTATTATTAGCTATTGATTATTAAGGTTCAATAAACTCATAGCCAGACTAATCCTATTATGTAGTAGGTTATCATGATCAATCCTATAATGAAAACAAGAAGAAGGTTGAAAGTGTAAAATAGTAACTTTATTAAACTGTAAAGGTATAAGTCTAATCCTAAGACTTATTCAGAAAAACTACAGTAGCGGTCATAAGTATCTGACCGCCCGAGATCGTCCAAAATTATTATATAACTACCCCTTAAATTTTCCAGAAATATAATA